GACGAAGGATGCGAAAAGGAACACAAAGACAAATACAAACACAAGACGATGGCAATATAGAAATTAATACGAAAACGATAACGAAAACGAAAACGATAATGAAAACGAATACGAGGAGCAACACAAAAATGAATGCTGAGGCGAAGACTTGGATGGACACGAATACGAATAGGAAGCCAGATACCATTACCGAGATATTCACAAAAATTTTTTGAATTTTTTTAATATTGCACAGGGTTTATGTACATGGTTTTTCTTGAAGAATGAATTATATTTTTATACAAAAAATTACTAAAATTAAAAAAAAAAATAAAATAAATGGTTAAAACTTGTTCATGTGTGCTGCGCCTATAATTTTTATAACCACTGTACTTATCCATACATATATATTTTCCCTTTTACACTCATACTCGTTGGCTTCCAAATCCATCCTTCTTAGCTCATAATAAATCAATCAAGTTCCAGCTCCAACTACTCAAACACAGTTTCTCATTTCCACTGTTGATTTATTGTTTTGTTGCTTTTTCGTTGTAGGCCGCCATTATGAAGATGTATACTTGGAACTTTGTTGGTCACTGCGTTAATGCGTCAGCAGCATCATGCCACAAGTACTTACCTGCAACTTGCAACATCACCGTGAACGCCATTAATTACAATTTCAAAGATGAGGCCACCAGCAATGCAAACAGCCGCGCTGCAGCAGAATAATGAGGTGCACATCAACACACAGCGACAACGTCAGATACAACAACATTACACTACACAGCATCAACAGCTTCCTTTACAACTGCGGCCACAGCAATATCAGCAGCAGAACCATCAGCAACAACAACAACAACAGCTCCAACAACCTCAAACCACTCCATTGACACTCCTCAACCAGTCACACTACGATACAACTGCCACGAAAGCAGCGCAACAAGCGCGCAAATACCATTTTGAGCAACCGAACTTTACCGTTGATAAACCGCTGAATTTTGTTGCGACCACAACAGTTGCGCCCGCGGAGAAAGAGGTGGGCGTTGTGATATCAAAACCAAGAGTAAGCCGAAATTTTGCAGCATATCCAGTTAGTGTCAAACTGCCAGTGAATGATAAAAGTAGGCAGGAGCAATTTGTGCAACGCCAGCATTTACAACAACTGCAGCAACAGCAACCGCATCAACCGCAGCCGCAAAGCACCACTCTTGATTGCATACAATTGCTGGACCTGAGCACATCACCGCCCCATGAGCCCGTCTACCCACTCCAAGGTAGCACAACAGCTTACTTGCCGCAACGGCCTCTAGCGGACGTGCCACCGCCATATCGGCGCGCATCAGCTGCCAGTGCGGCGCCTGTGCCAACGCATCGCGCTTCCTACGCCAGTCAATATTCGCGCTCCTCGTCGAGTGAGGACGGTTCGATTGGCGGCGGCGGCAGCAGCAGCAACAGTAGAACAGCGGGCGGTTTTCTTAACGCCTATTCGCGTGCTAGCAGCGCATTTGATGACGCTGCTGAGCATTTCATAATCAACTTCCCAGCCGCAGACTCACCATCGCACAATCAGAACGATTGTACCATAAATTTGCCGCTTTCCGAGACAGAGCCGTTGCTAACGAATATCGAGACCACCGTTGCGGATAAGCAACGCTCCATACGACTGCCGAAGAGTAGCGCTTCATTGATATTCACCAAGAAGGATTTGTTGCCGCAGCGCACAGCGTCTGTGACACCCTATCACGGTGGTGGTACGAATAATAATTGCGCCACGCAACAGCAACAACAGCAAGCGAAACAACAAAAACGCAATCAGCCACAACAACAACAACACCAGCTACAGCCACTTCAACATAGTGCCAGCTTACGCTCGGCAAAGGAATACGTTGCACGTAAACCTGTCAGGCATTTGCCAGCTTCATATCAGCAACAGCAGGAACTACAGCAACACCAGCAACAACAACAACAGCAACGCCGCAGTTTACAATTGAACTACAACAATAATCTAGTGACCACATCGACGTGCTGCAGTGCGAACAATAATTACTGCAACGCCGCAACGGGCAAAACTGCCAGTGTCAGTGGCAGTGCGAGTGGCAGCGGTTCAATTGGTGCTGTTTTGCATAAACATAATCAGAATTTGAAGGCTGATATCCCAGCGACAACAACAGCAACTACCAACGTCATTCCACAACAACAAAAGCAGCAACTGCAACAGCAATCAGGCCAAAGCAATACAACCACGGCTGCGGCAACACGAAAGCAACACGCGTACTCGTGGTACGCTCCGGTCTATAGTGCGCTCGAAGAGGAACTGGAACAGGATTCTAGGGTGAGTAGAGGGGAAATTTGAAAAAAA